CGTATCTACGAGGAACCTAGAGTTTGTGTGATGCTCACGTATGAAAAACAGACGGCCAACCTCGGGAGGTGGGCTGGCAAGTACAACCGCTTTTACTGGCCGGCTTACCCATTTCCCGTCACGTAGGTTCGGGACTTCCCGCAACTGCGAGCTCCTGGTCCGTAGCTACGATGGAACCAGCAGTAACTCTTGGTGGGGTCCTCCGGGGCTTTAGGTGGTTTGCGCTGGGGCGGCTTCTGAGCCTTTGGTTGCTTTTGGCGAACGTGGGCAGGCTGTGCTGCCCGTTCGAGCCTAGGTTTAACCCCATAGAGGTTCATTGTGGGCACCGGGACTCTGTCCTTGAAGGACAATCGGTGGTTTACGCATTGTGGTTATGGATCTGAAGGCCATACCGCATACTTATCCCTATCCCTTTCTATACGGTTGCGATGTCGTGGCAACGAGGACATTATCCTCATTACCAAAACGTGCAACTATCTTGTCGGCCATCGACCCAGCTTTGTCGACTGAGGAGTCCTCCAGCAAAGCCGTTACCGTCGGTTGGATGTGACATGAGAACGACTCGAGTCACAGCTCTCTGACGATGTCAGAGTGGGCAATTGGTGGGCTGGCGAACGTGCGTAGATGCGCCAGATGCATGCTTGGCGTCATCTCATCACTCGGGTGACGGGCCAACAACTGGTGTAACCTTTTATTGTTAGAGGAGGTGTAGAACTGAAGGATAGCAGCGTTCACAACGTCGTACGCGTTCTCCTCCGGCGGTTGAAGAATAATATCCCTAATGGCGGACATTCGGTCGCCAGGGATCGCCTGTACCGCGTAGACGTATTTGGAGCGCGAGCTCCGCACGGTACGGGCGATAAACTGCTTTTCCAACGCAGGAAACCACATCTCAGGGTCATGAGGGATGTAAGCTACTGGCTTAAAACTAATAGCCAATATATCCAGTTCCCTATCGTCTACTGGTTTGCGCTCTTCGGTCATCGTACAATTGCAATCAACAATTATACGGTGCAAATGAAAATTAACCGTGAAAAACAAGTGCAAACCAAATTAGATTTGACTTACAAAGTAGACGTTGCGGGGTCATGAATGAAGCTAACCGGCGTCGCTGGCCTGCCAGTAAGTCTTCTTACGAATCTCGAAATGCGCGCGACCTCCTAGTGTCTCGTTGCCCGAG